TATTGAGTCTGGAGGGCTGTACGTCCCCAAGCGGAAAATGAGGTGTTGCTCCTCTAGCTTGCGTTGGGTTTCACTGGAACACTGCAGCAAGCCAGAGACAGAGATGTTGGCCAGGGAGCAGGGTGGGGCATTGAAGTAGCAGGCAACAGGTAGTTCAGGGTTTTTTTTTGCGAGAAAAGCGTAGATGTTCTGCGAAGCGGTCGCCAAGTCTATGCTTCGTTTCTCCAGTGTAGAGGAGACCACATTGTGAGCAGCGAATGCAGTAGACTAGATTCTAAGAAGTGCAAGTGAAGTGTTGCTTCACCTGGAAGGTATGTTTGGGCCCTTGGATACTGGGGAGGGAGGAGGTAAATGGGCAGCTGTTGCACCTTCGCCGATTACAGGGGAAGGTGCCGTGGGGCTATGGGGAGGTGTTGGGGGTGAAGAAAGTGTGGACCAGGGTGAACCGGAGGGAACGGTCCCTGTGGAAGGCGGACAAGGGAGGGGAGGGGAATATGTGTCTGGTGGTGGCAACTCGCTGGAGATGGCGGAAATGGCGTCTGATCTCCAGAAGCCTTAGTGAGGCAAATGTTTTAAAATCAATGGAACTGCCGTGGTTTTAGATGAAGGACCACCAGCAGCTTCTCAGAGGGAAACCTGGGCTGAGCAATCAATGGTGGTCTTGCCTTTGAATTCTAATAGCATTGGTTTAGCTCAGTTGGTTGGATGGCTGACTTGTCTTACACAGTGACTGCTCAAGCTTGGGTTCAATTTCCACATTAGCTGGGGTCACCATGAAGGTCCCACCTTCTCAGTCTTGCCCCTTGCCTGACGCATGGTGCTGCCTTAAAGTCTCCACCAGGCACCTCTCACTAATGAGAGGGTGGGACTATGGCAATTATCTCTCTGGGTGACAGTGAGCTGGGTAGGGTAGTTTCACCGAGTGAGTATTAAATTAGGGAGGAAGATAAGACAGCCTGAGATTGACCCAACTCATTCTGTTCCTGACAAAGCCGTCTCCATTGGACTGTGACAAAAATTAGCCCCATCACAACGTTTAAACAGAGACATTTTAAAAGTACAGTTTCCTCCTTGCCAAGCTGATTTGGAATGAGGCTACAATCCGTACTGAGCCCCAAATGTTCACAGTTTCATTTAAACCTGCCACAGAGCGTGAGAGGATTGAGGTACTGTAGAATGACCATTGTAGTGCCTCCCATTGCATTGACTGATTGTAGCCAGCAACATCATCCACTTAGTTCACAGCTCAGTTTCATCCTGTAACCTGGAACTGAATGGTCCATTCTCAATGTCTGGACTGATGGAAAGTTAAACCAAGCACAATTTGTTAGCTTTCAATAACACATTACAATCAGTCACAGTGATACAGAAATGGTGGGCAATACTTCAGAATCTGTTGTTGCACACGCTGAGACCAATACACCACATGGTATGGAAGCACATTAATCTAGAACCGAGCTGGGTTGTACCAATCTACAACAGAAAGTTTATCAACATGTTATCACACTGAGTTTGACCAAGAATCTGTATAACACCAAACTGATTGAGTCCAGTTACATTCCAAACCAATAGCCTGAGGAACTGAATCTCACATACAGTATTCCAGATCAATATACCACACTCTGGGGGTTATCCAGAAAAAAAACACATGAACAGAAAGATTCAGAACCTCTGTTGCTTCACAAAACGAAGACTGAGCTTGGAAAAGCCAAGGCCAATATTTCCGATGAAAAACATTGCAAACTTAAGGAACGCTTCGTGTTGGGTTATTCGTGATTTTGTTCTCCCTCAGGGAAGTAGAATCTCCCAAGATGGCAGTGGGAGAGCTCACAAGTATTTAAAGAATGGAGCTTTTTGTGTGATCATTGCTTCATCAAATCCCAACCATTGCAGGTAGACAAACAGACACATACAGACACCAAATGGAACAAACCGTAACACAGATACAATGAGAAACAAACAGTGACTTACACACCAACACAGTAATACACACAAACATGCAAACACACAGTCTCACACACACACTATATTCATCCACAATCTTATGCAAGCCACAACTTAAAATAACCTTTCCTTTTAGAGGGTTACTGTTTGACTTTCAGGGCTTCTTTGATCTAAAGCTCTAATTTAAAAACCAACCTGTTCTTGAACCAGAATATTCAAACGTGCTCAATGCCTGAAGAATATTACAGAAGTGACAGTTTGGTGCCAGGCAGATGGACAGAAATCAAACAATACCACGATTTTCCCTTCACTCTGTCCTTGCCCACACACCGCCAACTTCCTCCAAGTGGCTGATATCAAAACAAACCTGGAGCCTGGGGAGACTGGACTCCCACCATTTTCTAAACATTAAACCTTTGTTCAAAACAGGGAAATTGTGCACGCAGCTACAGCCAAAGAAGACAGATTCACCTGAAGCAGAAACATTTAAAGTACAATCTAAGGGAAAATGGGGAAAAAATTGGGCAAACTCCCAATATTATTTATTTGACAGCTTTAAAAGGGGAAGAGTTTTTTTTGGTTATTGTTCCAGTGGCAGTTTATAAACTTGAAATCCAATCAAAGGTCCCCTCTCTTCCACCCTCACCATTCCTCCAATCACAGGTCCCCTCTCACCCACCCTCACTATTCCTCCAATCACAGATCCCCTCTCACACACCCTCACTATTTCTCCAGTCAAAGGTCCCCTCTCTCCCACCCTCACCATTCCTCCAATCACAGATCCCCTCTCACCCACCCTCACCATTCCTCCAATCACAGGTCCTCTCTCTCCCACACTCACCATTCCTCCAATCGCAGGTCCCCACTCTCCCACCATCACCATTCCTCCAATCACAGGTCCTCTCTCTCCCACCCTCACTATTCCTCCAATGGCAGATCCACTCTCACCCACTCTCACCGTTTCTCCAATCACAGATACCTTCTCTTCCACACTCACCATTTCTCCAATCACAGACCCCTCTCTCCCACCTTCATCATTTCTTCAATCGCAGGTCCCTTCTCTCCTACCCCCTCACCGTTCCTCCAATCACAGATCCCCTCTCAGAAGAGCTAGGAGGGCGATCCAATCAAACTCTGCATTGCTTTTCCAACCTCAACAATGTCAATGTCAATCTCAGCAAATCTTTGGACCAAGAGGAGCCTGACCCATGAGGGCATATGGTCCATGGGTGATCTTCATGAAGTATTCATCTCCACCTATCCTTTCTCACCAACCAACTCTAATGTTTTTAAGGTGAATTTGTTTGTTATCCCTGGTGTTATTGAGATCTTTATGGGGATTCAGAGTAACGCAGTAACTCACACAAAGTAACACACAACATGCAGATGGCACAGTAACACACAGAAGGTCGCTGCTTCTGAGTTGGGGATTATGAGAGTGGCTTGGATGACCCTTGTCAGCATTGATACTAACATGTGGTTGAGAGAGTGGGGTTGAAAACCACCTTGCTCTTGTACCCAATGCCCCTATTCATAATCACCGACAACACTATATACTTTATTAATGGCTTTCTCCAGCTGGCCTTCCATCTTCAGTGATTGGCACACTTAGAATGCCAGCTCCCTCTGCTCCTGCACCCCCTTTAGGATCGGGTTGTACTATCTCCCCATGTTCTTTGTACTAAAATCCATCATTTCACACATCTCCACACTAACTTTATCTGCTACCCATCTGCCCAGTCCACAGACCTGTCTGTGTCCTTTTGGAGTTTCACACCTCACAGTTTACAATTTTACCAAGTTTTGTATTGTCTGAAAACTTCGAAATTGGCCCCTGCACACCAGGATCTTTAATTTATCTCAGGAAAAGCAAAGGTCCCAATACCTACCCCTGAGGAACTCTACTACAAACCTTCCTCCAGCCTGAAAAATATCACTGACTATGACTTTCCGTTTCCTAATACACAGCTAATTTTGTATCCATATTACTACCGATCCTTTCATTCTGTGACCTATAACCTTGATCACAAGTCTGTTGTGTGGCATTGTGTCAAACACAAATACATGTACACACACATAAATACACATATCCATGCACACACTTGTTTACACACCCATGCACATATACACATATTTGTAAACACACACAAGGATACACAGACACATGGATAGATATATACGTATAAACATACACACACAGACGTGCAAACACACACATGAATATATACACACACATACACACACATGGGTATACACACACCCCCACACAGACATGGATAAATACATGCACACGTGGATTCACACACACGGATATATACAAACACATACACCCACACATACACATGTGGATACACATACAGACACACATGTAGATATACACACGTGGATGTATACACACACACATGGATATACACACACACACACACACAGATGGACACACACGTGGATATACACACTCATACACACACACGGATATATACATGCATGCACACACACACATACGTGGATATACAGACAAACACACGTGGATACACACATGCACACATGTGGATATATACATGCACACACACACAAGTCGATGTACACACACACACACACACGTGAATATATATACACACACATATGCAACCACACATGTGAATATATACACAGACACACACTCGTGGATATACATATGCATACACACACAGGCACATATATGATATATACACACAGATATAAAGATGGGCTGGAGTGGACTTTATACTGGAGATTTGTTTGCACCGAAACACCATGGACCAGGAGTTGGAGCCGATTAATAGGAAACCTGTAAATCCACCTTTATTATGTAACTGCGATTCACACATCTTATTGCACATAGTAACTGAAAGATCTTTTGTAAAAAGTGCTTTGAAAGGACAACCACACTGTCATCCTTAGTCATTGTAGAAAAATTGCTTTTGTTTTGGGGAGTTGTTTCCTCTGAGTTTCTGACTTTTCTGAATCGTTGATAAAAGTTACAGAAAACGCCAGAACATTCTTTGCTTTTTCTTGTTTAATATATAAAAAACATCATGGAAGTTCAGTGAAGGAAAGAAAATTCAAGATATATATATATTTATACTTTTCTTACACAAATGCAACAGAGTCACTTCCTCATCAGATACACCTGGGGTTTACTTTAATTCATTATTTCCCCACCCGCCCCGGGTTTTGTGCACATAATGTTCTGATAAAAATGCTGCAATTAAATATTTACAGCTCGAGTGAAGTTAGTGAACATTTCCTCAGGCCCTTTCCTCAGTGTAAGAGACGAGGAGTCCCACATTCTGTGTATTAGAACATGCAGTTTGTCAGGTTCAGGGGAGCTGCTCCTACATTCAGGGCAGTGGTGGTGAGGTTGGTAATTGGGGACTGATCACAGATTAGGACACACACACTGATTGATTGATCGAGTTCAGGGAATGTAAGAGTTCTGATTTGTTGTAATATTGGTGTTTTTTTTTCCACTGGGACCAGTAAGCAGCACTGATGGACCAACTTGACAAAAATTACAACGTGAGATACCTCCACTTGGGGCCATGTGCTGTGTGCAGTGTTTTCAGATACTCAGGGACAATGTGTCAGGGAGGCTCATTAAGACATGAGGATGGGCTGTGAGGGTCAGTGATGGGGAGAGAGTGTACATGGGTCCAGGCTGTGTGTAAATCGGTGGGTACAGTTGCTTGAGTAAAGTGTCTGGGTCATGATATCACTGTGATGGGGATTTCTGCTCCTGTCTCTCATGGCGAAGGTGTCCTGGTTTTCCTTGTTGAATATTTAACATCCTACTCAGTGGCTTCTAAATCCATTTGTGTTCTTTCTCAGTAAATGTTTGAACAAATGAACAGAGCCCAAATGTTTGGCATGTACTTTGTGCCTGCTTATTGGTGTTTGTCACCATCTCAAACTTTGCAATTGCCAAGGGAGGACAGTGCCTGGTACCTGGAATAGTCCCTCAGGCACCCGGGTGCCTAGATAACACTGAGGGTGGCATAATTGGGCTGTAATTCAAAATCCGGTTGGAAATTCCCGACCCGGGTACCTTGGTGAGGAGCTGACTGGGAACAGGCTGAGGATGGTGTTCACTGTGGCTTCCTCAGAGTGGGACAGTAGGTATCACCTTCACATAGAAAAAAATGGCATAAAAGATGAATCTATGCAATTCCGCTTTGTGCATTCCAACTAACTAAAACGGAGTCCGCCTTTCAAACGGGTTTGGGATGAGTCTCAAAACCAGTTGATATCAAACCCGCTGTTTGGACATTCCCTTGGGAGAGAGTGCATTATTTTTCAGGAGGGTTTGTCACAGACTGTTTAAAAAAGATGGCAGCAATCTCTCGCCGTGGAGAGTCTTAAATCATTTTCATGTTGAATTTGCGAGGGGCGTCTGTGGTCCCGATGCCCGCGTCCGATTTCCGAGGCACGTACTCGATCTCGATGTTGTGTTTGGTGTTTCCTTTGCCCCTGCTCCAGAGGAACAGGAGGACGAGACAAAACAGCACCACTCCCAGGAAGGAGATGAATCCCATGGTGGTGGCTATGATGAGGGTTTTGATATCAAATGGGAAAGGCACAGAGGTGCGGGTGCTGTTCGCATTGCTGTCGTTGGGTTGGTTGGTGATAAAAGCGAACGTTTTGTTGCCTTGCTGACCCCAGTCTGGGGAGTAGCCTCGAACGTGGAGGGTCGCCGTGCTACTGTCATTGCCCCCTGCGTTCATGGCGATACACTGGTAGCTGCCATTATCCTGGAGCTGGGCATAGCGCACTTCCAAAGTGCCATCCGGGAAGACAGTGAGGCGGCCGTTCGTCTTCCTGGAGATGTGCTGTTTCCTGGGAGAGACCCAGAGAATGGCCGGGGCTGGGTCACCGTCTGCACTGCAGCTGAAGTGAACCGTGTGACCCTCATCCACATACACCGTCTGCGGTTTCTTATCCCGGATCCGTGCCCGCCGGCAGCTGAAATAACTGGGCAATAGCACGTCCGGGAAATCCTTAAACTCCTTACCGTGTACCATCTCCGGGCTGGCACACACGGGCTGCTGCCGGTTAAAATTCAAGCGCCAGCGACGCCGGAATATCCAGAGGAGGCGGCAATCACAGGCCAGTGGGTTCCTGTCCAGGATCAGGGTCTCCAGGTTCCCGACCGAGTGGAAAGCAGTTTCCTCCAGAGTGACCAGTTCATTGGCGGACACATTGAGGAGCCTCAGCTGGCCCAGACCCCGGAAAGCATACGGTTCCACGGTGTGCAGCCGGGAGCTAGCTAAATGCAGTTCCCGGAGCCTGAGCAGCTCCTGCATCATGTGGCCCTGTACCACTGTGATGGGATTGAAGGACAGATTGAGGAACCTCAGGTAGACCAGGTGCCGAATGGCCACATAGGGCACCGAGCTGAGGTTACAGCTGGTGACGGTCAGCGAGGTGAGGTTCAACCCGTACAGGCTGTTCGGGGTCATGGTGTCCAGGGAAGCCCAGTCAGAAATCTCCAGCACCTTCAGACGATACAGCCGCTTGAACGAATAGTTGTGTATCACACTGATGCTGAGGAAGCGGAGCCTGAGCACAATGAGGCTGTGTAGGTGGGACAGGGCTTCAGTCGGGATGGTGGTCAGGTTACATTTCTCCAGGGACAACTGCTCCAAGCTGTGCAGCCCACTGAATGCCCGGTGGGAGATATAGACCAGGTCATTGTCCCCCACCTCCAGGGACCTGAGGTTATACAAATCCTGGAACATATAATCCAACAGGATGACAATCTTGTTCTCACTGATGTCCAGCTGGGTCAGGTTGTTCAGCCCAGTGAACACTCCCAGAGGAATCAGCTTCAGGCGATTACTCCTCAAGCCCAGGGACCTCAGGTTTGGGAGGTTACTGAATGCTCCAGGCTCCACGGTCGAGATGATGTTTTCATTCAGTTCCAGCTCCTCGAGCAGCGGGTACGCCACAAACTCGTCCTGGTTGATGGTCTTGATGCGGTTCTTGCTGAGGTCCAACAGCCGGGTTTCTGTGGGAATGCCTTCGGGAACGGTGATGAAGCGCTTGCGGTGACACACCACAGACCTCTCCTGGGCCGAGCAGTCACAGCGAGCCGGGCATCCTGAAGCATGTCCCGATAACACTGCCCCCAGGATCAGCAGCAGAACGGACTGCCAGCAGAGTACACCACCGCTGTGCATACTCACCTTACCAATAACCATCCTACTGAACCCCTACAAACAGCAAACACAGACACAACAGGTTAGCAAAGGCTGGAGCTGCACAGTGAACACATGTTCCCTCATATCACCTCCCCTTGCACCCCCCTCATCCCCCAACCCCATCACAACACCCTCCAGCACAAATCCCGCTTCACAATTACCCCACCGACAGTGTGTGTCCACCCCTCAAACACCCAGCAACCTGAATCCCAAAGACAGATCCTGAAGGGAGATGGTGACCTGGTGGTAATATCACTGGGCCAGAAAAGCTCTGACCCGAGCAAAAACAGAAGTTGCTGGAAAAGCTCAGCAGGTCTGGCAGCATCTGTGGAGGAGGAAACAGAGTTAACGTTTCGGGTCGGGTAACCCTTCCTCAGAACTGATGGTGGCTGGGAAAACGTCAGTTTATATGCAGAAAGTAGGGAGGTGGGTGGGGTAGGGAGTAAACGATAGGATAGAGCCCAAAGAGAGAGAAAGACAGTTGGACAGACAAAGGATTTACTAACGATCAGGCTGGGAGGGTGAATAGTTGTTAATGGGATCTGTTAGTGACTAACAATAGATAGTGTGTAATAGCAGGCTATATGGTAACAAGGCCTGGTGTGTGCAGTAGGGGGCTGGGACATGGGAGAGTTTAGGCCCTAAAATTATTGAACTCGATATTGAGTCCGGAGGTCTCTGAGCCAAAATGGGAACTCTGCTTTCTCTCCACACACACTTGCTGCGTTTCTCCAGCACACTCTGTGTGTGTTTTTTTCAGATTTTTAGACTCCACAGCATCTTGCTTTTGTTATGATACCAATCCAGGAATCTGGGGCTAGGGGTTCAAATCTCAACCGTGAGCAAGTGAAATTTAATGTCAATGCATACAGCTGGGATACAAAAGTTAGATCATTAAAAAAACTACCATAGATGCCCAAACAAACACAGCCCAAACTGGAGAAACTCAGCAGGTCTGCCAACATCTCTGGAGAGAGAAACATAATTATCCTCTGATTCAGTAACCCTTCTTCAGAGCTGGTCTGGTTCACTCAAGTCCTTACCTGGCTGGCTGGGGAACCTCTCAGTTCCGGGGCAGTTAGGGATGGGTAACAAATGCTGTGATTGCTAGCAACACCCACATCCCTCAAGGATGAAAATAAACTCAGTAATCCCCCAAAACACATAGAAAGTTGACCCCAAATATACACAGGTGCTGATCCCCAGGCGGCAAAATATAGCTGGCACCTTTCCAAGACCTGCTAACAGCACACACACCAAAAATGTATGGTTTAATTTATGTAGCATCCAAGCGTTGATGCACTCTGTATCACAGAATCCCTACAGTGTGGAAGCAGGCCATTCACCCCAACGAATGCACAACTGACTTGTTGGGCCGAATGGCTTGTTTCCACACTGTAAGGATTCTATGGATTCTATTCTATGGATTTTGACCCTCTGAAGAGCATCCCACCCTATCCCTGTAACCTTACATTTCCCATGGACAATCCACCTAACCTGCACATTTTGGGACTGTGGCAGGAAACCCATGCAGACTCTGGGAGAATGTGCAAACTCCACACAGATAGTCACCTGAGGGGGAAATTGAACCCAGGTACGGGTGCTGTGGGGCAGCAATGCTAACCACTGAGTGTCCTTTGTTCGTACAAAAACTACTGCCCCTATTCCTGCTTCACACTCTGTCTCTGCACTGGGACATTTGGGAATACCAAGACTCAGCCGCATTCCCAAATTCCAGATGAGTTGCCAAATTTTCCTGGATTGTCTTAGAGCCATAGATCTCTCATGATCAACTTCAGGGATAAGACTCTGAACAGAAATCCTGGCAAAACGTTAGATAAAAGAAGTGTTTTATTTTCAGTATCTTTGTAAAACATTATTCATTAGAACATTATTTCAGATTAACGTAAAAGATGCTTGACAGAAGGTCAGGGGTCATCTAACTGTCAAAGCCGGTTTCCAGTTGGTGGCGTTTTGGCATACTGGAAGATGCCACCATTTACTGGGACAGAGCCCATTCCATCAGTGAGATGTTGAAACACAGACCTCCAAAGCTTCACAACATTTCAGAGTCAGACACAACCACCGTTTTGAAATGAGCTCACAGTTGATCACAAAGTCCCACAAACACAATTCTGAGAATGAGCTCTGGCAGAGGGCCAGGGCTGAGGGAGTGTCACATAGATGGAGTGTCAGCACTGAGGGCGTGCCGCGCTGTTGGAAGGTCAGTGCTGAGGGAGGACCACACTGTCGGAGGGTCAGTGCTGAGGGTGCGCCGCGCAGTTGGAGGGTCAGTGCTGACGGAGGACCACACTGTCAGAGGGTCAGTGCTGAGGGAGCGCCGCACTGTCGGAGGGTCAGAACTGAGGGAGCGCCGCACTGTCGGAGGGTCAGTACTGAGGGTCAGTACTGAGGGAGTGCCACACTGTCAGAGGGTCAGTGCTGAGGGAGTGCCGCACTGTCAGAGGGT